ATAAATGCTCACTAGACTTTGATTTGAATCGGATATCGAAGGAGACCATGTTTTATTCATTAATCTGTTATACCCTCTATCACAGTTTATAACAATTCAAATCTCTATCCTATCATCTATTAACCCCGAATCTACCTATAACTATGATATTATATTTAAACATATATTATTAAATATAACAGACAATGAATGTCTGTTATGTCTGATGATGAACGGTTCTAATGTTTGCTTTAATTTCTGGTGAAAATAAAGAAAAAAATGTCCAACATTTGTATATTTTTTTATTAAGTTGTTCCTAAGCTTTTGGACTACATGCTAAAATAATAATACTCACACGTACACACAGTAAAACGAACCTTCAGATATTGGAGGCTATCTACATTAAAATGAAAGAAATCCACACTCAACAAAATTCCATTTCAAACTAGTCACAATACATTACATTGCATCTAGACATTAGTTCTATTGTAATACTTCGGTCTGTTGCGTGGTATGACCACATCTTGAACTTACAATCTTCGTCCATTATTCCACGACCGTTATCGTCGCATAGCATTCTTCCATCTCAAAATAAAAAGAAAATATTAACGTTTGACGGCGGATATCTTTGTTTCATGTCTGTATAACAACCCTGAAGATGGCTCATGTGAGTCGAAAGCTTAGGACCAACTTAATAAAAAAATATCCAAATGTTGGACAATTTTTGACTTAGTTTCTTTTCGCCATTCTACATTGATGATGATTCAGAAATTCCGGAGAGAGGGTATGAATCAGTTCGGTTGGCCCTACTCTCTGTCAACATGGGAGTTTTAACGTCATTCGGACAGACAGACTAACCGACAACTCGAGGAGAGGTGGACAGTTTCACTGTCGATCTCTTTACAAGACAATTACAAGTCGAACGTAGCTTAGATGTGGCTCAAGGCCGCAAGTACGGAGTACCTCCAGTGAGGATCGCATCTATTACTCACTAGTAACTGACCTAGTGAGACAAGTTTACTAACCATTACACCACGATAATAACAAAGATTCAGTCTGCTTATGGATTCTTTTCTCAGTGGTGTATTTTCAGAATTCTTTGAAGCCAGACCAGTTCAAAATATACCCGACCCATTAATAATATACCCGTGCAAAACTAAATTACTAGATTTCATAAGTAAACAAAATCGAATCTACACTGAATTCATTTTTGAAAAAGAAACACCTTAACTTTTCGTGGTATTCATTTTAAAATTATACGACTATTGAAAATCAGCAAATAAAAAACGACTTCATAATTTTTTACTCACGTGAGAACAATAAGATAAAATCAGGAAAAATTAGGCCTTTATTTAAAATTTCTTAGATTTTGTAACCCTTGAATATCTACCGAAAAAAGAAAAGAAATACACTGAATAGTGTTTCTAAAATCCTCCACCATCCTAGTTATTTCATATTTAATGCCAAAAGAAAAGTATAGAAAATGCACAAAATCCAAAACTTATAAAACTACAATTCTAACGTCGTTGGCATTGGAATGGTACGAGAAAGGAATATGACACGAAGATGACAATAGGAGTTACGAGACACTTTTATATTCGATTTATCTGGATGAAATTGCAATGCTGGCTGGCGTATTGGCAAATTTCTCTCGTAATTGGTGAGCATCTCATCTAATTTTCGAAGAAGTTTCCATTATTCTGGTCTTGTAAACAATAGCAATAAACAAATAACGCGATTACTGTTGTTTTCAAGTGCAATTTTCCGAAAATGCATTTTTATTACTTTAATTTACAACTACTCTATGTTTTTAAGTGCCGCATCTAATCGCGCAATTACTACTGCTTGCTTGCCATATTCAACAATAGAGAGACCTTCTATGTTGCCACTCCTATGATTGTTGTAAAAAATGATCTCTTTTCAGTGGTTGAGAAATCAGGTTTTATTGTGACGTAGAATGAAGAGAGTACGAATAAATAACAATGTTTCCTCAATCTATATCTCCTCTGTCATCTAAAATACAAAGTTCCTCAATTGCGAATAAGGAACAAGTCGAATACCGAACAAGGTTTTCTGATTTCAAATCGTCTAACCACTTCAGCTTGATGAAAATTCAGAAAAAATATTTGATCGATCACACCAGTCAGGTCTCTCTTAGCTCAAGACCCCAAACCGAATATAAGTGACTTATTGATCACATTTGTCATGTCTAATTTTTGCTGAAGAGGCAATGCCGAATATGTGGTGTATCATTGATCTCGCCAGCCATGGCCCTCTTTGCTAAAGACGCGGTACCGAATATGAGTGACGTATCATTTATCACATGCCATCACTCTTTGATGAAGACGCGATGCCGAATATGAGTGACGTAGCATTGGTCACATGCTTGCTGAAGAATCGATACCGAATATGAGTGAAGTATCATTTATCACAATGCCATCACTCTTTGCTGAAGAATCAATACCGAATATGAGTGACGTAGCATTGATCACATGCCATCACTCTTTGCTGAAGAATCGATACCGAATATGAGTGACGTATCATTTATAATATGCCATCAGTCTTTGCTGAAGATGCGATACCGAATATGAGTGACGTAGCATTGGTCACATGCCATCACTCTTTGCTCAACAGATAATGCCGTATATTAGTGACGTATCATTGATCGCATGTCATCACTCTTTGCCGAAGAAGCGATACCGAATTGACCACACCAGCTATCTTTGTTTAACATAACATACCGAATTTGTTATAACATTTCTGTGGGGAAATATAATGTGAACAATGTTATTATCTTTGGCGTTTAAATTATAACTTAAAAACTTTTTCTGTTGTTTCAGATTTTCTATTATTTCTTTTCTTTGAATAAAAATGCTATCTACCCATTGAATAATCCCTGATTTAGTTCTATAATCCATCTCCGTGATAATGTGTTAGAAATCTAATTCTATATCTTAATCCTTATTAAATACTGACTATTCCTTAATTTAACAACTTGAATTAATATCAAGTAGTTCTTCAATATTTGGACACAATTTTCATTATATCGAATTTCTACGGGTGGCTTACATTCTTCCAACTGAACTTGTTATTATATAAGTTATACTCGAAAACTAATGGCAGTGAGTTCGATTCTCACCGTGTCTAAGATTTATGCGTCCATTGGCCAATAGAAAACACATGAAATGTTTACATATGTTAATATTAAAGAGTGAATGACGTAGAGTGTGGGATAAGAAAAAGGGTCCTAGAGAATCTAGAGAATTAAGATCATGGCTTGGCACTCCATCGTTCTGACCTTGTATAAGACGCAGCTAAACTTAGCAAATGCATACCTTTTCCGTCACCGAAAGTATAGTTGGCTAACCGAGTTCAGATTCATGCCTATTGCACCCCCTTCGCACTTTTGAGTCTTCTCCCACCAGCTACGGGTTAAATAGTGGGATATACTAATGTTCACTCAGTGGCAGCAATCGATGAGAATAGTAACAACAATTCAAAATACTGCAACGGAAACCACCTCCGCCATCTTTTACCAAGAAGTCATGGAACTTCACAGATAATGAAAAAAAGGATGTTGTGAAGAGCTATTATCGGTATTTGTGACCGCCCCCGCCACATTGGTAAGATGGTTGGTTTAACGCAGGGCGTGTTCGCCTACGTCTTGAGTGGATATGGTATTAGAACAGCTCTAACCATATGGAAAATATTAGTTTTAAAGCCCATTTGGCCTCTTATCGTACGTTGATGCAGTCAGTTATGTGGCATGCGTGGTATACGCTTCGGCGATCATTTATCTTTCGATACATAACTGACACGGCAGATATTTTTCCCTTAGTAGGTTGCTATTTATTTCTGCGGTAGACCAGTTGTCATCCAAGGTTATAGAACCCGGCCTGTCCTGCTATTTACCCATAGCTGGGGACGGGAGAAGAAAAGAATTCATACCTTTCCCAAGGTTATTAGCACGTAAGTGAATATCATGGATCCGATTGGAATACGAACTCGGCTCTCCGATTCGTCAATCCAAGCCGCTTATCCGTTACTCCTCCAATGATGCAATGACCATTAAATTCAAGAAATATTTGCAGCACCTCAACTTTTGTGCTTCATTTTCTATACTGACAACAGTTCATCATAGCAGAAAAAAATTATTAAATATATGTTGGTCTTGATATTCGATAAGATTGAAATATATTTTTTATTGATTTTACGCACGAAAAATTAAAACTTGATTGTATCCTGAATTAATCTCGGTGCATTCATCCACAAATTAGAAACTAATTTTGAAATTTCATCGGCGAATTCATTTCTAATTTTTAGAGAAATGCGATGCTGTATATATTCTTCTTGTTCAATATCTTTTTATCTGGAATGAAAATTATTTTGTATTTTAAAAAATTATTATTAAAACGACGAATTAAACACAGGTATAATATTTAGTTTGCTTCTGTATTTTGAAGAATGTCACACGAGGAAAAAATAACTATCTATCGATCGATCGATCTGTCTATATTATTCTGTTTCTATCTATCTATCTATCTATCTATCTAATTCTGTTTCTTTCTATCTTTCTATCTCTCTATCTTTCTATCTATTTTATTTTGTTTCTATCTATGTATCTGATTCTTTTACTTTCTATCTATCTATCTATCTATCTATCTATCTTCAAATTCTATTATAGTGGATACTTCATATTAAAAAAAAATGCCGCATTTTTATTTATTAAGCAGTGTGTATTACGTCTATTGACTTAAAATTTGATTAATTCGTTTTCTCCAGCTTATCAATAGTTTGCAGGTTATTTAAAGCCAGAAAACATATTTAAATTGTTAGAGTTAATAAAGCTTTAATGATACAAGTCTTACGAATTATTAACCCATATCTGGGAGGAGAGGAGGTGGATTCATACTTTCCCTAAGAGGATTTGCGCGTAAGCGAATATAACAAACCCAACTTGAATTTGACCTCTTCTCTCCGATTAAGATATTTTGAGTCATTACATCGACCCCACACCCAAGCTTACAGCACTTGATATTCCCAAGCGGTTACCCATCTAGGTACTGACCAGACTTGACGTTGCTTAACTTTGGTGATCTTACAGGAACCGGTGTTTCAACGTCTTAGTGGAGAAGATAGACGTATACCCAGTGTTTAATAAACAAAAATAGGGCGTTTATTTCAAGTTCAAAGTATCCACTATAATAACATTTGAGATAATAAACATATATATATATATTTATATTTATAGAGACAGATAGATAGATAGATAGAGAGAGAGAGAGAGAGAGAGAGAGAGGGGGGTGAGAGAGGCAAGGCGCAAATCATTCCTGTTGCGACATTCATTACAAAATAAAAGTAAAACGAAAAGTTATAATACTAAGTTATAAGTAATACTAAGTTATAATTAATACTAAGTTATAATTAATACTATAATATAATACTATTTAATAATATATTATATAATAATAATAACATAATATTAATATAATACTATAATTAATACTAAGTTATAATATAAGTTATAATTATAATACTAAAAATTATAATACTAAGTATCCACTATAATAACGTTTGAGGCAATAAAAAATTATTTTCTTGCCAAACTCTATCTTACATAGTCATAAGTCTACCATTCGTCCTTGCTTTGAATATTGCTGTCATATCTGGTCTGGTGTTCCAGTTATATATTTAGAGATTCTTGATAAAATACAAAGAAGAATCTGCAATGTTATTGGTCATGACCTGTCATCTTGGCTTCAATCCATTTTCCACTGACGTAATGTACTTTCTATGTGCCTCTTTTATAAATACTTTTATGGTAATTGTTCTGATGAACTTTCCTCTAGACTTTATGAATTTAAGCGCAGTGTGAGATTGGCGGCAATGTCTCCTCATTTTACAGTTGAAATGGTCAGATGTAACCACAAGTTCTAACAGTTTCTTCTATTGCACTTCTCGATTGTGGAGCTCTTTTCCGGCTTTTTGCTTTATAGCCAACTTCGAGCTTCAAAAATTTAAATGCAATGTCAATCGTTATCTTTTGTTTTCTTAATTCTCGTTCTTTTATTGTCCTCTCTTTTTAATAGTAGCTTTTTCTCATATTCTGTAACACTCAGTAACCCCTTGCGTCCTAATATCTTTATTGCCTTGCTTCGAGTGGAATAATTAAAAATATTTTTATATTATATAGACAGAGAGACTATGCACGTGTATTTCTTACAGAAATTAGGAATAGTAGTCGAAGGAAAGAAATTCAAAGAGACAAATGTGACAAATGAAAAGATTTGGAATTGACAACTTTTTCCATTTCACTGAAGCAGACGTTAAACATTTCTATCTTTTTTGTTTCTTTTCATTTTCTCACTAAAACCAAGTAGCCTCTCTGTTAAGTCAGTTCCGTGTTTTCACGCAGTCAAAACAGAATAGTCCATTGTTTATGAGTTGTTAACAGGGCGTAATGGTCGTGTGAGCTAACTAAGGAAGTAACTGCCAAAGGGAAGAACAAACAAAATTATAATAAATATATATTTATTGTATATAATTCGGGCATCAGACAGAATAGAAGCATGAGAAAAATATTCAGAATCGGAATTGTGCTTTTTGGCGGAAACCGGGTTGTTTTGCGCATGTGCAGATTTATTTATTTATTTTTAGTAAGGGTTCGTGAACGTTAGTGGACAGTTGATCCTTGGCGAGATTATTTCACTAAGTCTATACTGTTTTAACCTCGCTGCTGGATGTAAAGCTATTTTTATGATTCCCCCACCCGCCGTTTTTTTCAGGTGTTGGATTTTCGTATTCTTTAATATGTCTAAATGCATGTGTAATACGGTCAGTGTCTTAGTAATTTCTTTTGCTGATTAAATCTATTACTTTTTTTAGCTAGTTGTCTGCAACTATTAAGGTCGTAGAGATTTCGTAGATGGCTTTTTGTGTAAACTGTATCCATTGAGTATGCCTAAATTTCTAATAAATCTAGAATGTCATTTTAAAAATGAATTTTAACTCAGATTTTTGGACACTAAAATAATGCATCTTACGCTATCAATACTATGATCCAATTAGTTGAAATGTCCAATGTAGACTGTATATATTTCTGAGATGATGTATTATGCACATTATTTACATTGTTCGGACTATCAACCTCACCTTTGTTGCCTTATTTATCATATTGATACATATGGCAACAAAGATGAGGATGATAGTCCGAACGATGTAAATAGTGTCCAATATAGAGAAAAAATTATGTTGTTGTCTCTGAGTGTTTACTTGTGGTTGTTAAATCGAAGACGGATTTAAATACAATTTTCACCGATATAGTTTCTGCCATTGCATTTATTGCAAAAAATTAAATATATTTCAACTGTCACAATTCAAGGGAGGAGATCGGATCATTGTATAATCTATTCCCGAACAATCACTAGGAATGGTCAGATTCAGTAACCATAATGTTTTTCAATTGCATTCAAAGTGACTTGGTTCAACTGAGTTGGAGAGCCGAGTTCGAATTCCAGTCGAATCCATTGCATTTACTCACGTGCAAATATCTTTGAGAAAGGTATGAGTCCTCTTTTTCTGGCCCCAGCTATGGTAAATAGCAGGTCAGACCAGGTTCTATAGTATTGGATAGCAACTGGTCTACCGCTGAAAGAAATGACAATCTACTGCGGGAAAAAATCTGCCTCGTCAGTCATGTATCGAAAGATACATGATCGCCTAAGCCTGTATCACCCATGGCACATAACTGACTGAATTTTTATTAAAAAGTGGTGGTGTCTCATTTTATTTTTAAGGCTGCTATATCTTTGTCATTGACAATGACGTTTCACCGCCAAGCAGCTGTAAAATAAAACTGGAAACGACAGTCTGTCATTATACACACCCGTACCTCCCCGTATTACAAATGGGTGATATTTTTGGCAAGTTTGGACCTTCGTGTTACAAGGAAGGTTTTTCCATTGACACTGTTATTATTTTAACTACCTCCACTGCTAGACAATGCTTATTCTTTTAAAAAGTGATGATTAGAATTGTAATAAAACCTAACCATGTAAATATATACATTTTCTTTGTTCTTCAGAACTGACAACAAAAATAATTAAAACTATTTTTTGTTTATACTTCTGACATGAGGTACCGTAATTATTTACATTATTTACATTGTTCGGGCGGATGTCCTCATCTTTATTGCTATATTCATCGTCAAAATCTATCTCTCTTTCTGAGATGAGGTATTGTAATTATTTACATGATTTACATTGTACGGACTGATGTCTTCATCTTTATTGACATATTCACCTACAAAATCTGTCTCTATTTCAGAGATGAGGTATTGTAATTATTTACATTGTTCGGACTGGTGTTTTCATCTTTATTGCCATATTCATCTTCAAAATATGCCTTTATTTCTGAGATGAGGTATTGTAATTATTTACATCATTTACATTATTCGGACTGATGTCCTCATCATTATCGTCATACGTATTTATTAGATTGTTTATTCGAATAGTTGGCAGAGTATTTTGGTGACACAGTTGCGTTATGTTTTTATATTCAGCTGTGTTTTAGCCTTTGAGTCTATCACCTAAGAGAACAAGACTTGTGAAGGCTGTGCCATTGGCAATAGATATGGAGAAGAAAATGGAGTCGCTCTGAAATCACTAGTTCTCGTGCAATCGCCGTAGTTAAGCAATGTCAAGCCTGGTCATGATGATAGATGAGAGACCACTTGGGAATGCCGGTTACAAAATGCATAACAATGTAAATAATGTAAATAATTATAATACCTCATCTCAGAAATAAAGGCAGATTTTGAAGGTGAATATGGCAATAAATTTAACAAAATTAACCAAAAAACAACCCCCCCATACCCCCACAAAAAAAAAAAAACAGAGTGTCAAAAGGATGTTTTTTCCATTGACCCCCGTATTATTTTAACTACCTTCTATCCTCGGCAATGTTTGTTATTTTGAAAACGATGATTAGAATTGAAATGAAACCTAAAGATATGATGAAGTTGAATGAATACATTTTCTCTTGTCCTAGAGAATTTACAACAAAAATATTAAACATTATTTATTTATTAGATTGTTTATTTACAAGAATAATTTATATCTACAAAATTCTAATGACTAATACAATTAAAACTAATTCAATTCAATATTTACCATTTACCAAAGAAATAAAGAAATTATTATGAAAACAATTTTTTATTTATAAATGTGAATCAACTATAACGAAACGCTAATTATTTACCATTTTATAAAGTTCGATTCAGTTGGCAATTAGCCGATGTTTGTGATCTGTGATCAGTATTAAATGATGCGAAATGTTCCTTAAGAACAGAAAGCGGATCAAGGATACTTTCTCATAAATAAAGTGTTTAGTTAGAAATTCCATTAATTTTATAAAATATGAAGACAAATACTTGATAAGACCGGAAGATAATAACGGTCGAAACATGATGAGTATAACAACGAAAAAAGCATGAGAGTCCGAAGAGCAAAGCATATAATCATTATAACTCATACAACAATAAATATAAGTTGTCAAATTTACAGATCTTCGATTTAGTTTTGCGATTAGGTTTTATTAGTTCAACGAGTCAGTTTATAAATCTCGAAATTACATTTCAAACCGTGATTTGAAATCAAATCGAAAAACTGTATTTGCAGATGTACAAACTAATTGCAACACCAAAAACATACCGAACAATGGAGGTTGTCAGATTAAAAGAAAGCGTCGATTTTGAAGTACAATTCATATTTTATTTTCCTAATTTACATCTCTGCTGTTTTATATATAAGAAGTCGGCAATAAAAATAAGAACGTCCCTCGTCGCCTCAATCTAAAAACGGTCAGTCACATATCGTTAAACACAGACATCATTTGTCGTATTACCACGTCTAATTTTCCCTCGAAATGCGATTTCCTTTGCATCTTTCTGGCGCCATCCTGCTCTGATTTCTATCATAAAAATCTGATCGACCATCACAAGATTATTTGAACAATATCATATTTACAGAAGTAAGTATGATTGCTTGAAAGAGAAACATGTCTGTTTTTCTAAGCCGCTGCCAACGACAAAGCTTCATTTCACTGTAGTCAGAACGATGCCG